AAAAAGCTGGCAGTTCACCTGATGTTAAGTAATAACCGCCGCACATTGACATTTGCAACACCCTTAGGGATGCAGATGCGTTGCCACCTTTTGATAAAATTGGCTCCGGCTACCTCACTCACCAGACGAAACGCAGAAGTATAACACTTCCACTTCACGCAGGTCTTCTTACTTAGCCGGACGGACCTGCCCATTCGTGCAACAGCGTAGATCCTCGCGTGGCCCTACCACCGCAATAGGTTTCTGTGTCACGGATCCTTAGTACAAATCGTGTTCGATATCGACACGCGATAATCGCTAATCTTTGATCTAACAGCAAAATTAACGTTATCTTTTTTACATTCACTTTTGGCTACCTTAGTGCAACATAATGGAAAAGGGAAATAATTGTAAAGTTAAAGATAATAGTAAAGTTTACTTTAGATAAGTCCCGATATAAGACGATTTGTTTACTGATTCTGTCATCATAGACAATACATACCAAGGCACAATGTCTTCATATTGAAACGTTTGGGAACAGCCCTATCGCGCGCTTTACAGATCCGATTATACAACTACGCGCGTACGTCACATAACTTTGGTCTAACGACGTGCCGCCTCTTCGAAACAAGAAAACGCACTTCGCCGTGCGTTGCGACGCTGTGTACGATCCTGGCATAATATTCAATAATAGTCTTTGCTCTTGGCAATGTTTCAAAATGTATATTACTCTTTATTTGGCCGAATATTATTTTCCTTTCGCATATTATACAAAGGGAATGGTATGCTTTTAGCCGATAGTTGTTTAAAAGTTTTACGTTTAACGAACCGATTGGCGTAGTGACCCTGCCTCTTTTGCCAAACGGTGTGGGTTCGATTCCCACTACTGGAAAAATTTTATGTGATGAACACAGTGTTTTTCCAGAGTCTGAGTGGTTTATTTATTTAAAATATGTATTTATTTAAAAAATAATAGGACATTTTAGTATGTTTATCAGTTGTAATCCATAGTACAAGCGTTGCTTAGTTTGGGACTAGAAAACGTTGTGTAAAAATGTGTCTGAAATATTTTAAAAAAAAGTTTGATTTAGAGCGCCTTTTTCTTTTTTCATTCTTTTTCATTATTTTTTAAAACATTGCCCTCACTTTAGGATAGCATTATCCTGTGTTGTAAGGACGTTTTACAAACATAAATTTCACGCGGACAAACACCCAGATGCGAAACAACTATCTGTGGGTCACACAAATAGTTGTCCCGTGTGGGAATCGAACCCACGACCCCCGACGCCGAAGCCAATACCTTGGCAACTGCGCCACGGAGTCATCATTATTTCATTAAAACAATCGCCTAAAGCGATTGTTTTAATGAAATGAATGTATAATCCTCGTCATTACACTTCCTCTCTGTCTATTAATTTAACAAGCAAAATATGATTTAATACATCCTTGTGGAAAAGCGACCAATTTCGTATTTCCCGAATTTAAATCAACTTAACCTGTATTACTAACGCCTTAAGCTGATTTGAAGTTGGGGACACAAGTCAAAAATTAAATAAGGTTCTGTTACCTACTACCCGCACTCTCTATTTCTTTGTCAAAAAATGTCAAAAAACCAATAACTAGAGACCATACCAATAACTAGAGAACCAATAACTAGAGAATCATACAACAGCTGGAATAATCATATAATTTTCAAAACCTCTCATTTATAAAATTGCTTATTACTTATTAATGTAATTAAAGATTCTTATTATACAATATCTCATAACGTAATTTTTCTCTACTTTATGCGATCGTTGTAATCATCATTATAGTAAAGCGCTCGACTGACTACTACTAATAACCTCTTAATACTCTTAAACGAAACGTCCTTTAGAAGAAGCTAAGTATCTGGTACATTACTTTTTTTACAAATATAACGCCTTAGGAGCCAAGTAGATTTCAGAGACTAGCTTCTGTATCCAATCTTACGAATTAACAAGGCATATCTTTGCTGCCTCTTCAATTAATATTTATCCTTTATGTAATTGACGTTATCAAAACATATTTTGGTTATTACCTTGATCATTGCATTGACCACTACACAACAGTAAGCCGCTATAGCAAAAAATGTTAATGGCTTTAAAAAAGTATTCAATATCGAATAGACCGTAAAAATTTATATCTCGCTTCGACGTTGTTTAAGGAAACACCACGATTACATTTTAGCCGACGGCCACGTCGTATATATATTTCTCCGCTTCAATTACACAGGTGTCTGTTTGACATTTCATCCACTCAACACCGCGAAATGTCATCCATCATCTGTCAGCGATCCGGTGACGTGAACGAGTGCGCGCGCGGCGAAACGTCACGGTGACAGGATATAATTATGAAGTAAATTATTGCTTCTTAAAATTTGCCACAATAGAACACCCCCTCCACTCGCTTTCACCCAATCCCCCCCCCCCCCCCCCCCCCCCCGCGTCTCACCTCAGTCAAGAGAGGTTATGTAAATTGTCTAACGAAAGATGCCGTTACCGGCCCGATGGCGCACTTAAGACATTAACATTTAAAAGCGCTGTTTGTTCTAAGTACACAATTACTTGTGCATTTAAACTGATTACGCTCCGTGTTTAAGTGAGGGATACAGTTTAAATATACTAATTAGTAGTTGCCGTGGTCCTTATTGCTCAAGCGGCCGTTTAAATGGGGCCGTATTAGTCCGCTTCATTCCTTCGCTTTGTATTTACGCAGACGTCTTGTACAATCGCTGATAAATTGTAGACTCCTTAATTAGCTTATTTAAACCATGGTCAGTTTAAACATGAATTTGTGGTAGTATATTTGGATAGGTTGTTTGGCCAATGAATCAATGAAATGTAAGAAACCGTAAAATAACAGTTTTCGTAAAATCATAGAGAATAAATTGAATGTATATTGTATTAAGTAATTTATTTTCTTTACCATGTTCAATATATGTTTGATACAATCCTTAAGAACGATTAAATTGATGAATATAAAACATTTATTAATTTTTTTTGGGCATGTAAAACGAAACGTTCACATAAAAACATCCGTCAGCCCTATATCGTCTTAAGACGTTTATCTTCACACGCAGTTGACGCGCCATTTTGATGCTAATCTTCGCGAGCGCGTGTAGATTTTCCCTCCTTTAACTACGCAACAGAAGAGAGCTTTCGATTCTCCCGCGCTAAAGTCCCCTAAGATTTCTACCAAACAACGTCATACGAGTTACAGTCAACTGAAGTGAATTGCAACAGATTATCTACACAAAATTTCGTTACAACTTATGTGTAGATAATCTGTTGCAATTCATTTAGAATTATTCAAATCTTAAATTATTACGTAAACTTCTACTTCCTTAAACTTAAACACTTTCATATATTTTTCATCTTTGATATCATTACTCATAACTTGATATATTTCTCATTATATCATCGTTTATCCGTCACGTACGTACAATAGGTTCACATCGATATCGTCAATATTTCAAAGTGTGTGACGCTCGAAACGTTGAGTCTCGTAAATTCACACTTAGCGCGTCGGATCCCAGTTGCGAGGTCGCCATTTCTCAGGATCACGTACAAAGCTGTGCATTATGTACAATGAACTCTTCTACGGCCCTCGAGCCGCTTCGCTACACGAGCCTTTGATCCGAGCATTCGACGCGGATATTTAAGCCATTGCGAAAAAAAGCGGAACTTCAATTTTGGTCGGTACAAGACAAATATTAAACATATCTGTATTTTTTTTTTGTAGTTTGTTCTATTTTGATTATGTCGATTCGAAAATCAAATCTATAAATGTACATACATAATATCACGGCGGTGCTGTTGCTAAGCAATTGGCTACGACGCCAGGGATTGAGAGTTCGATTTCCAAAAGTGATGTGTGTGATCCACACATAATTGTCTCGGATCTACGTGTTTGTTCAAAGGTGGATTGACGTCAGGCAGGTAAGGTAGGCGACCGTTCGTAAAAAACTTATCCAATGCTGTTAACAAGATGAGCCACATGCTGTGACCACACATTCTCTTATCCTTATCTCACCTAGGTTGAGATACTATACTTAAGTCAGATAAGGATAGGAGAAGGAATAACATTCGAAAATCGAATATTGTAAAGCTTGTAATTGGGTAATTGGAGAAAATAATATGTACACCATTGACTCAATCCTTAATCACACCTTTTGCCTCACATATATCACTATTCATAACGTACCAACTATCCATTATTAAAATTCCCACTGCATAACTAAATACTCTTCAAACGGCACTTATCTATCTTTGAAGACTCTCGTATTATCTGATAGATGATTCTGGAATACTGGGAAAAATGTAGCGAATATCAGAGGTAATGCCTCACGCACGAATACGCGTATGTAATTTTATTCATTCCGCTAAAATCCCCGCCTTGAGCCGCCGCGACGCCACATGTCAACGTAGCAAATTTCGCGCCGGATTTATTGTATAATATTAACAGAGAAAAAAAATGGAAACGTATACGTTTGCTAAAGGAACTTGTCAGATGCGATCTTACAATACAATACGCTTTAGAAATTGTAACAGCCTTTATATGTTACTTCGTGAAAACAATTGCTTGTGGATCCCGTCTTGTTTGATCTACAAAAGATTTTATCACATTTAGTCGTAATCTTACCAACGATGTTCAAATAATGTCATGGTTCTTTGTTTTCATTTTTTTCTTTTATGTTCTCACCTATTTGTTGAATAATATAGGTACCTGAAGGGCTTTTTGTTCACTGCATTATTTTATACATATTATAATGTTTGCGGGAGGGAGACCAAGTTGTAAACAACCGTTGGTTATCATCAGAGGGATACTCACTACGCTATTTAAGGGTTATTACCTGCAACCTGCTCTGAACCACGAAAGTTCAATTTGTACAAACATTTTGGTGTAATAAAGAATTTTCCATCAATCAATACTCCGTGTGAGTACATACTTACTTTCACTTCTATTCTTCATTCTTCGCAGAACGCAAACTGTTCGTCGGGATGCTGAACAAGAAACTGTCTGAGAACGATGTGCGAGCGCTGTTCGCTGGTCACGGTGCCATCGAGGAGTGCACGGTGCTCAGGGACGCCCAGGGCCAGAGCAAGGGCTGTGCCTTCGTCACGTTCGTGTCGAAGCAAGCCGCCATCGCCGCTATCAAGGTGAGACTGGCCGCTGTTAGAGCCGTAACCCTGGTTTGGCAACCAGGGTTACGGCTCTAATAAATATCGCACGTTGCCATAAAGACGATGCTTCGGCTATACGAAATGTAACCTAGGACAATCCTACGCAATATTCTATATCGGCAATAGAATGATAAATCTTTTGAAATTTTTGTTCTTAAGTAAGAAAGTGACAAGCTTTGTCATCTGACAAGGAATAATCATCTCAGCTCATGGACATCCGCAAGAAAAGTGTGGAAAACATGTGAGGCGTGCCTTCCACACCATACGAAACGTAAAAGTAGCTTTTCATCGTTCTTCACAGTACCGTCTTTACCATTAGAGAGGCACACGGGCCCCGTGAACCTATCTTCATGGGGGCCTACGTATTATCTTAAACTATAGAAATTTTTCTCTATTTTTGGTAAACATATTCCGACAGAAGTTTATAGAATAAATAGGTATAATAACATAAGAATAGCAATTTAATTTTTTTATAGTGCTAATCTCTGCACTTCACTGTCTGTTTTTGTCATTCACGTTTTTTATTTTATATCAGGGCCCAAATTTGTGTGCCCTAGGACCCCGATGTGGCCTAAGGCGGCATCCGTCTTTAGAGAGGCCATTGGATTTCCCTGGTCCGGCTAGCCTATCCATAAAACAGCTAAAGCTATAGCGTGGGTCCAACAAATTAGTGACGCATGAGCTCACCACCGTGCTACATCATCTCTTAAACCCCAGAGTTGAGAACCGTACCATAATTACCGAACAACCCGAGGTTCGATACGAATACGGCTTTTACTAAACCAGTGCATGTACCATCTACGACTGCAATTTCACTTACCACCAGATGGCAAAAATCAATCAAACGCTAGGCAGTCCATTAAAAATTAAAAAAAAATTGAAAATTGCGCCACGTCCAAATAGAGGAATATTTATTTATTATTTATTTTTTATTTATTTAAACTTTTACACAAAAAAAAATTGTATTGTGTATAGGCGAACTTAATGCCTAAGGCATTCTCTACCAGTCAACCTATGGGCGACGCAGAGACAAAAGAGGCAGGTGTAAAAAGTTTCAAACCAAATTTTAATTTAAAACAAAAGTTATATATATATTCATATATACATAAATTTAAGACATATAAATGAAAATATATAAAGTATATAAAGATATTAAACCCAATATAACAAAAATATATTACTTTATTTAAGCATACAAAATAGAATACATATACTATAATGTTCACAAATAAATATACATAAATAAATAATATACGATATCAATAACTACTGATTATTTCATTCTGCCAACTTACTTAGATATAGTTTTTTTATCTTATTCTTAAAAGCAATACGTTCAGTGGTCTTCCTGATGTCATACGGAAGGTCATTCCAAAGGAGAATGGATTGAACGGGAAAAGAAGAGTACATAAAACTAGAGTTGTAGGAGGGACATTGAAGCAAGAGATTATTAGAGGAGCGAAGGGTTCTGTCATGATTGGAATAAAGATATTGGATAAAGGGAATCAAATAGGAAGGGGGATTGGGAGAGGTTAATATGGAATGAAGTGTAGTGAGCATGCGCAAACAACGGCGTTGACGAATGGGAAGCCAATTAAGTTGAGACCGAAAAGCAGACACATGGTCATACTTACGAAGGTTAAAAACAAATCGAATGCAGTTATTGAGAAGACGGTCATATTTGTTGAGTAGATCTGCATTCAGATCAGAATAGCATACATCACCATAATCGATCAAGGGAAGAATTAAGGACTGCACAAGTAAAACTTTAGTTCTGGACGGAAGAAATTTGCGTAGGCGGTAGAGACTTCGCAAAATACCGGTTACTTTTCGACTGACATGATTCGCTTGAGCATGCCAGCTTATGTTGGTGTCGATATGTAACCCAAGATCTTTTACCGATGAGCTTGGTTGGATTATTATTTACTCGTAAATGAAAGTGCGATGAATACGATGATTAGAGGTGTCTTTAATTTTAACATAATTACAATATTATTTTGGAAGCCCTTGCAGAATTTTTGCTCGCGTTTATTCAGATACACATTTCCCGTGGGTATTAATTACCTCAGGCTTATCGGCTATCAACAGTTTTTCAGTTGATTTAACCATTTTCGAGTTTGCATCAAGTCTTATACTTAGAAGATTAGTTATTAAAAAGATTTATGGCCCACGCTTAACATTTATTTATAACATTTATTCACCTATATTTTTCCAAAACTATGAACACGTATATTCTACTGTATTAACAAAAAGTAAAAGTAAGTAAGTAAACTCGACCGAAATCCGTTTCATATTACGTAATGTCCAGGTAATAAACAAAAACTCCTTAAATTCGCCTCGAGTCTATCGCCGGTTGCGATGTATTCTTAAGACAACTGTCACCCCACTCAACTCTAAGATAATTACTCTTTGGAAAGACGTTGAAATGTCTGACGTGAAGATTCAAAGTTACGATTTAAACTGTCTAAATTAATTTTCTTCAAAGCTAACCGACCGCCCACGGCTTGGCTCATTTCAATCTCCAAAAAAGATTTAAATAATGTATAGTTGTGCGGTTAAGTGTGATCAGTTTCTGTTACATTTTTTGCTGATATGAACAAACAAATAAATGAAGACTCCGTGGTGCAGTTGCCAAGGTATTGACTTCGGCGTCGGGGGTCGTGGGTTCGATTCTCACACGGGACAACTATTTGTGTGAACCACAGATAGTTGTGCCGCGTGAAATGTTTATTCGTAAAACGTCTTTAAAACACAGGATAATGTTATCCTACAGTAAGGGCCACGTTTTAAGAAAAGATATAATAATAATTACAAAACAAAAAAGAAACAGTAAGTCATGGGGACTGCCGACTGAAATGAATTATTAATTGATTATTTGAAAAAAAAAACGGAGCTTTTGTTTTAATTTTTAAATATTTCATAAAAAAATCAAATATCATAATTTGTATTAAAATCATCAATTAACATTAGTCTAGTTTTCAACTACGGGATTTTCCCTGACCAAAAATCGCTAAACGCAAGTTTTCACTGCACAACGAGTTATATGAAAATAAGTTCGTAGGATTCTGTGCCGATTCTGTTCGGTACTCGCACAATTAGTATGCCGGTAACAGTTTGTGCTTTTTACAAGAAAACACAAGCTTTTTTTTTTTAATTGAAAATACTTATATATTTTTCCGAAGAGAGTTAGTTATGTTGAGCAGTGGACTCTGGCTTAAACGATGATGATGATGAAATAAATTTTTATTTTGAGGACATAAACACTCACGGCCGTGATTGACTCCATTACAGTACGGAGGAATCGTAGGGTAAAACATTCCGTGATGCCTTGATAATATATAGCCGTAATAGCTTATCTAATACAGTAACAATAGCTGTGTACACGTTACATAACCACACACAAACCTTTGGAACATTCCAGGCCTTACATCACAGTCAAACGATGGAGGGCTGCTCGGCGCCGCTAGTAGTGAAGTTCGCCGATACGCAGAAGGAGAAGGAGCAAAAGAAGTTGCAAGCGATGCAGGCGAGCCTCTGGGGCCTAACGACCCCCGTGACGCCGGCGGCGTACCTGGCCTCCGAGGCGGCGCTCTCGCCCGCGACGCAACTGCAGCTGCTGCAGCAACTGCAGGCGGTCGGTCTGCAGCAGCAACTCCTGCAGGGTCAGGGGTCGACGTTACTCCAAGGTATTACAATCGATATGCCACTCGGCATCGTGACTCCTTCTTGATCGATTTAGTTTTGCTGTATCTTGGCGCTGGCATAGATTGATGCTTAATGATTTGTTTTTACAAATAGACGTCTCCTTGAACATGCACAAGAAATCACAAATACATCTAATTCAATCACGAATATACCCAGACTAGAAAAGACTATTTTGCTTGAGCACTGAAATTTGCCAAACATCAACTTTAGGCTTCTATAATATTAATCTATTTCAGCACTTTGTATACCTTAAACGAAGGATTTAAATCGTGAAAATATCTAAAACCAAGGTAATACGAAACTAATAGAAGTTAGGCCGCCTGTCGAGCGATCAGTAAGCAATGGCATTAATATCGAAACAAATCCACGAAAGCCGCGTACAATTCCGTCGACGTTGGATAATATAGACAATTTCGGCATTCGAACGGATCCGAGTCGCAATTGGCTCCAATTTACCTACGTCAGTGTTGCTACCCAAGTTGTCATTAAGGTTAATTATTCTGTGAGGGCGAATCGTTTAATTAGTCGCGCAACGGCTGGTCCACGCGAATGGATTAACGACCGTTTTTTTCAATTCGTTATTACGCACGGTCGTGCAATTGAAATCAGGAAACAGTTAAAATCTCCGAGGAGGTTGGACACCAATAGCTATTTAGTTTGCCTCATATGTCATGTTGTTGCCCAATGTTTGTAAAGGAACTCATAACATTTGGAACTTTTTTTGTGATAAGGTGAAATCAAGTGGATTCTCCTCCGTTCATCTGGTGTGAAATTTTTACCGTCGCCTATGGTCGCCTATCTACAAGACAATACCATTGGGATTGCATACGCGTTTCCAACCCAAAAAAAAAACGAGAGCACGGGTCTGTAATATTATTCACCAAATAAAACGATAAGATACTTTACCTTCACATCATTCTTATGTAAGACAATGATAGCTTGCCGTACGAGTATTATCGTGCCAGAATAGAATTTTGTATGGTTACCGTAGAAAATTGTAAGGAACTGTGTTATTATAAACGTCAAAACATGAAGGCCATGAGCTATTTTTTACCCCGTTAGGTTTTGAAAAATTGAGAGCTATTCTGCCTCATGGATTGCAATGGACAATAGTTGAACCGGATGAACGGGACCAGATCACACACCGAAGTAAATATTTTTTATACATATAAGGATATAAGTATGATACATAAAAAAATTGTTGTTTTGTAATCCGCCAGAGCACAATTATGCCAAATTCTCAGCTTGACGCTTTTCGGTAATCGATAAATAGAACGGGATTAACATATGCCCATTTATTAAAATTCGCATTTGGGCGATCACTAATATATTTGTTGAGATATGTGAGATATAAACACTTGTTAATTCCATTCATTAACTAAAAAATGATGTATAGGATATACAAGCAAAACGGGACGCAGGTTTAAAGTAGGAACTAGATAATAATTATCCCGCGTCGTTTATCAAATTTTCTACCTTTTCTAGATCTAGTTTTAAATTCAAAGGTATACGAGTCCAACAAAATATAATCCAACAAAAATAGTACCTAAATTCTTTACCATAACATTTGGTACGGATGATCGTCGTGACATCTAGAAATTCACACGGGAGACGTGATAGCATCTATATCGTATCTGATGGTTCTTGGAAAGTACATCCATACATACAGGCTGCATGTACTCAAAGTACTTGAGATTAGATTAAGCTTATTTCAAATAAATGTTGTCTTGAATAAGAACCGCTTTTTATAGAGTAACCTACCACTTTTTTGTTTATAACCCGACTTTGTTATGCTAATTTCTGATTTAATGATCTAACCCAACTTTGTTTCCATGTTTTTTTTTTTTATTTGTCCCCGTTTCGTTTTGTTTTGCTGACGCTGCGTCCGATCTTCCTCTTAGGTGTTAACTATCAGGATATCGGTTTCAATGGCGCAGGCCTGAGTGGTAGCGCCGTGAGTGGAGTCGGCGGGGTGGGGGGTATCGGTGGGGGGGCGGCCGAGCAATTGGGTGGTCTCCTTGCTCCCGTCTCGGTGCAGAACCTGGCCGCTTTAGCCGCCATGACTCAACCCCCTGTTGTTACGCAAGCTGCACCCATAGCACCCGCCGCCGCGCCTCAGCCTGCCGCTCCGCAGCTCTGTAAGTATCCCGCTTGATTCTCCCTACGCCCTTGTTTACTCAATTGGGCGCTAATTAAAAAGAAATTGCTTAAATCGGCGCCATTTTGAAAACATTTTGTTGATGTATTGTTTGAAGTATTTTTTGACAATGATGATATTTTGTTCTAATTCTGTATTATTCCTCTTATTAAAATGAAGTTTAACTCTTTAAACAAACTTTTTGAACCCGTAACATCATTTTCTGAATATATTTTATGACCAAAAGTAAAATAACGTATCTCTTATAAGTATTATGCGTAAGGTCCGTGAAATATCCAACTCTGGTTTCAATCTGGCATTTAGATTGACGTTTTTTACGCACTGATCCCTTCTCTAAAATTCGCCCTCCACAAAAGACAATTAAGCTCCATAAATTCCGCTCTAATTGCCAGACCTGTCCAAATCTCTAATTGGAATGTAGCAACCCAAAATGTAACTTAAGCTGCGAGAGGGGAAATGCCATGACGAACCTTTTTGTCCGCAAACTTTCCTATTTCAGGTTGGACTTTAATACGTTATTGAGAATAAAAAAAATCCTGATAATTAACGATGAAACTTTTTCACACTTCAGGTCTTCTCGGGAAGACTAACATCACAGGTAAACCAACAATGAAATCGAACGTGTGTTGCTATATACGAGGAATGATTTGTCTTTTGTATCTGTGCTAATGTAACAAATGACGTTTGATAAAATTACTGTAATATTTTTATCTTCTATCTAATTCTATAGCTCTTTGGGATTTAACGATCGCAGTTAATTAACTCTTAACTTAATTAACTTAATTAACTTTAATATTTTTGTTTTTATTAATTTTCATATAAAAACTAGAGTTTTATGCATTAAATAATAATAGTATCTGTTAATTGCCTTATTAAAGATGATATAACACATCGATAAAACACATTACACATTATTTTATCTGTCATTTATTGCATTTGTCATAGGCTTTTTTTTTGGTAAGGCTTGGTTTGATTTCTGTTTGCAACGACGTAGTTATTGGCGATTGCTTAATTAGGGCTTTGAAATTAGGCCTATTGAGGTCAGTGTTTGTCAAACATACACTGTACTTAAATAACCTATGTACGTGTGTTTTTTTCTTACATTGCTATCAAGTACGTTATAATCGTTTTATTGTAACAAACCGTGATGGTATTTTTATTGTTATTGTTTTGTTTTTGTTGGTTGTATATAACTTTGTGTACTTACATAACTTATTTTTATAATTTTAGCATGTTTCTTTGTGAATAAATACAGGCGTTACGTTATTACTAAATAATTAGCTGTGCGGCGTGTAGTAAATAATTACGGAATGAAATTTCTGTTTATTAACGTGTTTCTGTTAATTGTTTTTGCATGTAACTGCCAACGTATTAAGATTTTAGACACCTTCGTGTACTTTCTGAACATTTCTTGTAAATTATTAATTTTAACGTTTCTCGTATTTCACAAGATAATACAAAGTGTGCTTACATGATGATTATTTTGAGTGTTCTTCATATTCTACATGCAAGCTTAGTAAAAATTAAATCATTAGAATGTTGAAACACTACCTCGAACGAACTCTTAATCTTTAAATCAGCTAAGTAAGGAGAGTTGCAAAAGTATTTTCTGTGTAAAATACTTAAATATTGTCAAATTTAACTAAGGTGACCAAACGGAGAGTTACATTTAACCATCTCCATTATTGAGTAGGCTACTAGTCTGTCCCGTGATCATGGATAGTGACGAAACGGTGGATTTGAAAAAAAAAATGGACGCGACACAACCAAATACATTTTTTATATACAATAAACGTTAAATAACATTAAATATCACTTGTATACGATGGCTATGGCAAAATTCGCAATCATGTTCCGTCTCCCGCCATCGGCGACTTTTACTCGCTACTTAGGAATCACGTCACGAGTCAAGTTGTCGCGGTGCATTTAAAATAGTGAAGCACCCCGGTTTCTGGCGGTGTCGGACGGATTCTCGTGTTTTTTTTTTTAAATAAAAAAAAAAAACGACCGTTTACAATGAATTATTCCGCGACATACGCACAACTTGACGTCGCGAATGTAAACACGTCGTTTGGGCACTGCTTTCGCTTAGTCCGAACGTACTACAAATAACCTTTTAACAACAATTTATTTTTTCTGTCTTCCCTTATTTTAAGCTCGCTCTAAAGTCTTTGTCAACTTGTACAAGAAACGTTCGAGTTGAAGTTAATAATTGTGAAAGAATAATGAAAACAATTTTGTTTTTTGTTTTGAAATAAGTAGCAACCTCTTATAGTGATAATATGTTAACTTTTAAGAAAATAAATACATGATAGTAAAAGCCTGTTAAAGTTATCTATATAGGTATTTCGTTGGTGATAAGGTTAATCTTTTTTTTAAACAATATTATCAGCATTTGAGTTTGAATAACATAATTCACATTGTTCATGGTTAAGAAGCGAAATCCAGCCAGCGTTCTTAACACCACGCTGAGAAAAATAAGGATGTTAGGTCATTCGTTAATTAGTTAGTATTGGAAACGTATTGTCAATAATGATCTATAATAAAATTATAATAACTTAAATCTTTAAATGCTTCAACAAGTAACTGCAGAAGTTCTTGTAAATACAATAAATCTTTGTGATGCATGATTATAGCTTACATGTTGTAGTGTATATACGAGTGTATCAGATTACCAGAACTGCATATTTTTAATAAGCTGTATAGATTGTTATTGTAAAGTCGAAGAGCACTGCCGCTCGAATTACGTAGTATTATAATATAGCACGATCCTTATAGAGATGTATTAGACACCGTTAAAGATGATTGCATGATTTAGCTTTGAAGCTTTTATAGTTTTAATTTAATAGTTTGATCGTGTAACGAAACCTACCGTCAGAGAGTTCAGGATTCTATAAAGTAACCTATTCACGTTATCCGTAGCAAGAATCTGAATTAATTATTCGACATCGATGTCGAGATTTTCGTTATCCCTCTTCGTCCACAGCAAACGTCATGTCTTAATCGTTTTAACTGTTTCGATAAACGCGTCACGGCGTCGAATGTGTCGAAGCGTTAGGGGACTTCCCCCGAATCCCTACGTCCGTAACAAGGGTTCGTTCGACCGCCGATCGATTCCGGTCTTCTCGACCGTTTCCGGCTCCGTAGGTGCCTACAGGACCGTGTGGTGATGAGCGAATGTGCAATACGCAGGGTCGACCGCGGAACCGCTGAGTTCAGCGTACGCTGCGCAGTTTGGCTCCGCGTTCGCCGCAGCGCCACTGGGTTCCGTCCTGGGCTCGGCCGCCGCGGCAGCCGCCGGCAAGCAGGTCGAAGGTCCGTCAACGCAGCCATGGTCAACTAATTTCTGGTTCGGGCGCGGGTCTACGATTTAATTTCGAGAGAACCAGGCCATAAAATTAAAAAAAAAAAAAAAAAAGTTTGTTCGAGACCCTGCTCGAACATTTGGCTCTGGTCTTTGTCTATGGTTCAACATGAAGTATAAAACATTTTTACGAATTTGTTTTACGTTATAATGTTACTTTAGAATTTTTTAATTTTTATCCAGTTTTTGTGTGTGTGTGTGTGGGTCCCGTGTCCCTTAGACCCGCGCCTGATATCGTTTGTGTCGTATTCGATACAGACTTTACTAACTCTCCAGTGTAACGTTGGGGTTTTGTTATCACATCGTTTCTCTTCAGATTTCCGTTACGTACTTAAATGTTTGTTGTCGGATGTCTACAATGGAAATGAACTTCGAAGGTTTCCTTAGCAATTTAATTGTATGGCTAGCTTTTTTTTTTTCATTTCCTATTTAGATACTTATTACTGCTTAATTTTGCTTTAACCTATTTGCGATGCACGCAGTAGGAATTTAAGAGTGATGAATTTTTCTCATCCATAGCGATTACAATTTAGAAAAGCAAAGTATGCACTGCATGAGTACATATAGATTGTTAAATTTATTCTTGTCAACTCTAATTTTATGAAGATTATATAAAATTGTTATAGAAAATATTTCAATTTCCAGGTCCGGAGGGGGGCAACCTTTTCATATACCACCTGCCGCAGGAGTTCACCGACACGGACCTAGCGTCTACCTTCCTCCCCTTCGGCCACGTGATATCGGCCAAAGTGTTCATAGACAAACAGACGAACCTTTCAAAGTGTTTCGGCTTTGTCTCCTATGACAACGCCGCCTCGGCTCAAGCGGCGATACAGGCCATGAACGGCTTCCAAATAGGTACAAAGAGACTCAAAGTTCAATTGAAACGCTCTAAAGAACTGTCGAGACCGTATTAGAATATTCCAGAACTGGTTCCTAGTGAATTTAAATGAAAAGGAAGGACATAAAGAAGAGAGAAAATAAAAAAATATAAAAAATAAACTATGCAAAGAGGTTGTAAGTTTTTTGAACGTTTGTTGTGATGTATCCGGTGCACTCGAACTGACGCTAGTTCATAAGGTTTCGTTCGAAAACGGAGTCCACGTGCACAGTTGTTATCTAATAAGTATAAAGGTTAAGGTTTGTGTCAAAGGATTTATCGTTTCCAAAGTATTCCCCAAATTCGTTTTATTAATGGTAATAATTATTGTTTTCGTAACGAAATAAGTTTAGTCTCTTTAAGCATAAGTTGTATGAGCTTAGGAACCATCGCGATGAGCAAACGCCAAAGAGCTGGTACTAATGATAATTTTAAAGTGATTGTCAAATATTTAATTTTCAAAGAGAACAGTGTCATATTGTAAAATAAGAGACGTATTTTTGTCAACCCAAAGCTTATTGTATGGAAACAGCTGAACCGAACAAGTATTTTTATATTTTACCTGTGTAATAGGTGATATTTAATGTTTTACGACGTTTGGTTGTAGCTTTTATTGTTTATTTATGTTACCACTTATACATATATCAAGGGAAATACGATAAAAGGCCATTGTCAGTTTCAGTTTGTCTTTTTTCGTTTAAAATCATAGTGTTAGATTAAAATGGCGATCTCAAAGTGATCAGTGTCCTTATTATTTACCTTTTAATGTAATAGAGTACTTAATTGTGTTTTCTAGGATTACTGCGTATCTGTTCTGTTCTGTCTAAAACAGGCGAAATGTCATTTTATTAAGTTTTATCACATAATTAGGGAGTATTTCTGTACTTCTCCAAAAACAGCCACCTAATGAATAGTGCCAGTTAGTAAAGTTGACCATAATGCATTAGCCGCTTAAAATATCGCTGACCATTAAAACTAAGCACAATGCGTATTGATGTAATTTGTTTGTGACTACTTCTATGAAAGTTTAAACAAATAATGATCTGGTTTGTATTACACGTACATATATAGAAAAATAATAGACACTTTGAGCTACACTGTTCTAATATCGTAGACAATTCACTGATTAGTTTTATTTCAATATTTATTTGACCACCTCGCGTTAAACTCTTGTAGGTAATGATTTCTTAATAAAATATAGTTCTTTTGTCACATCCAACTCTGGGTCTTTATTCACTTTTTTTTATATTAATTACTTTTTCCTACCTATTTACGTGCAAGCTCTAAATATTTTTTTTCTATTGCATGAGTTGCTCCATTTTATCATTGATAGAAGAGCGAAAGATTTTTCTCTAAAATTAAATCATCTTACAATTATACATTAAAACAAAGTCAGAGTTTACATCCTTTGAAGATGCTTGATTTAATAAGTATATAGTCATTTTGCTAACGGAAACAATTCTGTATTGTTTTTATGTCTTCAAGTCAGAGTTAAAATGTTTTAAGATTCACTCTCGTTAAAACGAGTCATAAACAATAATTCGTATTGCTTATACTTAATACATAAATTGTATTGTTCATTTTTCTTAATATTAAGTTATTCTATTTATTTAAACAACTAGATTATTTTTTTCATTCAAAAAATTAAGTGGTGTTGTTTTTAGTCAACCTGCTAAGCAAAGAAAACGCGCAGCGCTGCCTACCGCTACTATTCAAAAGTTGTGTTTACTTAATGTCAATTTCTAAACTTTGGCTCACGAAGATCAAAAACAGCACCTTGTCATTTAATTTTAGTGACGTAGAGAAATTTTATCATAACTTAATTAAATTTAGTTCAAGTATCGTATTACTTATATTTAAAATTTATTAAAATGGGCTTATCGTTAGTTTAATTTTTAGTCACTTTTTTTTTGATGTCTAATGAAAGACAATGTTTAGACTGAATAAGTTCCCTTACTTAAATGTTAAACAGCTGGCTATATTATATCAATTCGGTATTTTTTGTGGGTCCTTTTGTGAACTCTGTAGCATTCAAGGGAACAGTATATTCGTTTTTGTTTAAGTAAATTATTATAAAGGGGATGTATTGTTGTAATTTTAGCGACTTACAATTGAATTACCACCTTTTAGAATTGTAATCTCGAATCTGAAGTTTTGTTTTAAGTTATCATCTTTGGAACTGTATAAAATTACGAAAGATTTCAAACACTTAAAAAAAATACCCGAACAGTTTTAACGCCTTCATTGACTCGGAAAACTAAAAGGATGGTAATTCAATTAATTAACACTAAGAACTATCCTAGACACGACCACACTAACATTTTGTTAAGAAGTGATCAGAAATGAAAAAAAGTAACGTAAGATTTTTTTACCTACGATTTCTAGGTATCTCGGACTAGGAACCTCATTGTTGTTGTAACGATAAAATAGACTCTGCCTTACCTAAAAACCGATTTTAAAAATATTGATTTTACAATACCGTGAAATAGTACCGCTGACGTAAAATAATGTCATTTAATGTGTGCCGTACAGATATTTATACAAATAATTGTGATTTACCCTAAAGTGGATGTATTAATTGGGAATGACACATTCTTTTTAATTATATCGAACGATGGGGTTAATTGGCAAACACGATGCCATGTGATAAATATTTACTGTAAAGCTCAAAATTTTCTCTAGAAATGATCATTTCTTTCAACACTTTGTTTGCAAAAGACTACTAGTTTAGGTAGGCTATATAAAAAAAATATATGTTCTCTTTTTAAAGCGTCTTGAAAGAAAATATATCCCATTTACAAGTGACTTCATACCACGCCTATTTTGCAGTACGTCGTGCGCTATATTTTTGGGGCAATGATTTAAATGACGACCATTGCCTTAAAAAAAACATTTGACGTTGACGTTACCTGAAACTTCAACCAACGGCGCGAGATGCAGTTGCTTTAAATATACTTAGATTTTTACTTTTCATAGTAACTTGTGTTACTTCTAATATTTTTGGTGGTATAACTAGAGTCACGGTAACAGCATATCCTACAACAGACGCAAATTATTTTTACACTGTTTCGAGGCACCTTTATTTAGTAGGTATACAATTGGTATAAAAAATTAATATGAAGAACTGTTTTATACAACACCCGTTTTGTTGAAATAAATGTAAATAAATGTCGTTAGTGTTTTCTTTTCATTTTCACCTTGGAGTTTATTTTTGTGCGTGTTTTATTAAACGTTAGTTGTCTGATGTTAAAAACATTAAATGAAAATGAAGAAAGAGAGCAATAAGGTACTCAAGATATCTCGAGAAAATATATATATAATAGGACGAAAAATCTCGCCCCAAGCGGGCGTCTTCCGTCAATCCGTCTTCCGGATTCGCGCCCAGACACTTTAACCGCTAAGCTTTAACGGCTGATTTCCACGCCGAGGACAATCTCAACGTCTTGTAAACTACATTGTTTTTTTGCATTTCAAGCAATGCTTGACCGATCTATTGTTATATCCTTTACAGCATACAAAAAATTCCGTTTTACAACGTTAATTCGAAAGGAGAAATAATATATGAGAAACATATAAGTAAATGTTTTAGGACACATTTTTACACAAAGTTCTCTACTAAGGGTATTAGAAAACTGATAAATACACATATTACCAACTTTTCTTTTGGAAATAAATACATATTAAACATCTACAGTGTCATTACAACCGCGACAATAAATGAACGCACGTCTAACGCTACTTGCCAATAATTATAAAAAAATATATAACGTTAAACAAATCCATAATTAAAAAACATGTTTTTCAAACAAACTAATTAAATAAAAAAGAAACAAAATTTGTAACATCCTATATGACTGATTCATTCAGACTTTTTCATTCGTTGCCACAACGTCGCATTAAGAGTCTCCTTCTAACAGTATGTTTTATCTCTTTTAAATTCATTCAACCAGCATATTAATGTGCTTTGTGACCTTTGAAAATGAACTTTACGTTACAGTTTTATATATAAGGGAGTTCTAAAAATGTTTGTTTTGTAAAATTTAATACTTAACTCGGTAAATATTGATATTTATAGAATGTAAATGCTTAATACAGTATTAAAAAGTTATCCTCTATATGTGTGTTCATTTATTGTCGCGGTTGTAACGACACCCTGTATAAACACCAAGAAACTGGAAAAACACTGTTTATCACACAATATTTTCCACTAGTGGGAATCGAAACCCACGCGAATCAGCTAATTTCTACGCTTAAGGCGCTGCATGCAGTCAATTTTTAATTATTTGGGCGGTGAAGAATGACGCTTCCTCGGGGTAACGCCGCTTAGCGGCGCGCAGCGCGCGAGTTTCGTCGAAAAGCCGCTAGACCAAGTCATTCATTAGTGTGTGTGTGTAGGAAGGCTTTCGAAAACGTACACAGATGATCCCTATAATATCTTTTATAGACCATGATTGTATTTTACTTTTATATTATAATAGGAATAATAATAAACAAACAAATATAAAGTATGTGAAAGCAATCAACAATTTTAGAAAATATTCCTTTTTATTTATTTTTTTAATTAAATAGAAGAGGAATTGATTAAAAAAACATCTTAAAGTCAAATAAATTAATAAAGGCAAATTACTTATAATTATTATTTTTTGTTTTTATGGTTTATATTGTGATTTTAAAGAAATGGCTCATAACATTTTTGCAGAAATTACGAATACAACTTTTTTTATTTAATGTTTTTATATATTAGGAATTATAATTTATTCTGTAAATGTTCAAGACTTACTATGTTATATTACTTTTTCAATGCAAATGAAATTTAAAAAACTATCGATAAAATCCTTATTCGTATCGATAAACGACAGCAATTATAACTAGAATCGAAATTTTGTCACTTTGCACAGACCTCCCATAGCCTATTGGTCCGAGCATCATACACATCGGTAAACTATTGCTGTAGTCCCAAGTTCAAACCACTCATCGAGTGGAGTTGAATTTTTATAATATTTTCACTTTTAATTTGTTAGACAACTAATTATTTTGTTTTCATTTTATCTCAATTTGGGAAATAAACAATTTATAAAAAAAATTATAAAATAATTATTTTTCGTGTATAAGATAAACTTTAACAATTAAATAAATTAATAAAAAAATAGATGACGTTAAAAATTTTAACACTAAAAGTTGGTTTATTTACTGATAGACTGTTCTCCAACTGTTTCAACTTTGAAGAAATACAATAATATTTCGTATTATTTATGTAAATAAAAAAATCAACAATAATTAAATGGTAATTAAGAAATACTTCCAAATAAGAAAATCAACAATAAGTACAACAAAAAATTTAGGGATTTGAACCCAATCCATAAAGAATGATGGTCCTATACACTGTATGTATAGGACTGATAGACCAATCAATCACGAGATAAGACATTGAAATTATTTAACAACTGTTAATACATACAAATAATTAATATTTAAATAAATTAATTAACAACTGTTAATACATACAAATAATTAATAAATACGAAATATGTGAATATATATTTTTTTAGTTTCGTGTTTTCGAAGGTCGAATAAAATTAAAACTCTCAAAATAAATAAATACGAAACATATTTCGTAACGGTGAGCGGGCGATGAGCGGCAAAGTCCATCTAGCAAGGCGCCACAGCGCTCTCTGTTCAACGTGTGGAGTTGGAAGAGAACCAAAACAACGAATTCGAACGCGTTCGAATTAATTTTAATGAATTAAATTAATATTTACAAATATCTTACTTCAATCAACAAATTAAAACAACAGTCCTTTTTATTAATATATTCTACACCACTGATATTAGTTTCATTAAGATTTGTTAATTTATTATATCTATTTTTTTATTTGAATTTCACGTTTAAAGGTAGGTTCGTGATTTTTTCTATCGAGAAAATATATGGAGAATATGTTTTGAAAACAATGGTCCATTAGATCAAGATTAACATAATTATATTTTTTTGCTTCTATAAAATGTATAGATTTTGCTAAAAATTTTTTTGAAAAACCTATTTTTACTGCATACAGCGCCTTAAGATGAAACGTTAACATTTGTAGAAAAGAGCCGCGATAGCTCAGAGTCCAGGCGCTCTCCTTTAATTCAATATACTTCAACAACCTGAGTTCGATCCGCGGTGTCTTCACCAATGAAATTGTTAATTATAATTGCTGAATTATCACATGCTTAGCGGTGAAGGAAAACATCGCGAGGAAACCTGCAACTTTTCGAAATAATAATAAAAAAAATATTTCGAAGATATGTGAAGTCCACCAATCCGCAGTGGGGCCGCGTAGAGGACTATGCCCTGATTCCCTCTGTACAGAGGAGGCCTTTGACTTTGCCCAGCAGCCGGACACGTATAGGCTAATACTTTACTTTTTACTTAATTTGTAGAAAAAACGTGAGTAGGGTAGCCGGGGCCTACTATTTTAACATCATATCATCGTCATAAAATAATCGTCACGTGTTTTAGATGTCCATCGGCGGCGGTAACTTAATAAACGGTGGTCAAAAATGATAAATTGCAATTCTATTCCCTAAAAAACAACTTGTTCACAATGTGGTAGTCATTCATAAATGCGCCGTATAATTTTGAAACGAACTTGTGTGCTTGTTAGTTATGAATGATCGCGCGTAAAATAAATGAAGTGCCCATAAATCACGTACTTTTTAAGATAAGGTCAAATTATTGTAATTAATTAGTTACGAGTGATTTTATATATTTATCATTTTTATATGACATTATTTATGCCTAGAATTTAATAAAAAAAAGGGTACACTTAGAAAAGTCTCCCTGTATACATTCGCTCAAAATAATATATCGTAATCGTAGGGACAAAGAAAATCACTATAACGTATGATAATGTACGTATATTTCTTTTGTAAATATTTTACATTATTAAATATTAACTGTACACCACTACGTTAGTAATTATTTCTTGAATGTTAAACAAAATAAACTTAATGATGTTGAATTCCTGACATCACGCGTCCATCTTAAACTCGATCCTGTAAGAATAACGTGGAATTAAGGTAATTTGTAACGTTTCGTTTTTCCGGTTAACAATAGATTAAAAAAATCTTCTAAAAACGATATTTTCTTAACATGTTGAATTTTACAGTATTAAATTAATAAAAGCTCTAATCGATGCAAATGAAAGTAAAATCAAAATTTAAAAAAATAAACGAAATAATAGTATCACGATCATTTGTTTCCAAATAAAAATTAATACAAATTAATCTGCTTAAGTGAAAATCAATCGAACGCGTGCACACCAAAAGCTTTCTACTAAACATAAAAAACAAACAAATAAAACAGAAAAAGAAACAAAGAAATGAAGAACTGGCAACGACTAAAATTTTGAAAATAAAAAAAAAATAAAACAAAGGCGGTTGCGGCACAACATTTATTTCTCAATCGTAACCGAACTTTTCGATGACCCTCTCCCCGTCCGCGCCCGCTTCCTTCTCAGTCTCGGTGCGGTCGTCGGGCTGCGCGGACGCGTCGGCGGTCGTCTTGATCAAACCGTTCGCGTCGGCCAGCGGTAGGATGTCGCAAATCAGGGGCGACTCCACGCCGAGGATGTAGTGGCAGGTCCTGGGCTCGAGGAGGTACAAGGAGACCTGCGCCGGGCTCGAGGAGTTCTCCAGGCACTTCAGCTTGACTTCCGTCTGGCGGGGCTTGTGCGTTTTGTCGCACTCGTCCCCGCCCGAGTAGAAGTGGGACACGGAGGTGCGCACCTCTGGAAATGTGAAACGAGGGAACGATTGGTCCCGTGTCGCACAAGCCCAGTGGTCCGGGCTCACTTATGATTCGAGTAAGTCGAGTTCGAACCCGGTTGCCTGTACCAGGAGTAACGCATTGTGTGCTCCATTAAAACTTGACGAAGGCTTGTTATAATTATTACATCAACAGAACCAGCCTATGCTCTGCAGTAAACAAACTGGTATGATGATAATGATGATGAAACAGAACTGTCTTCAGAGTTTTAACAGTTAGGCTTAAATATGTCAGGATCGTGTTTCGTGGCGTTCTATTGAGAGGCCTATGTTCAGTGGTGGACTCAAATAGGCTGAATTGATGATGAATGACCCATAATTCGATACCTCGGATATGCACTCACCCCGAGGCTTTGGCGCTTTGCCCCTGTTCTCCTTGATCCACTCGAGGTGGGCCTGCTCGTTGAATTTGCCCAGCAGCAGTGTGGTCTTCTCGCCGTTCCTGTCCACGTGGTACTGCAGCACGTGCTTGCCGTAGCAGAACTCATATTTCCACCAGCCTGTGCCCTGGACGGGAGAACTACGGTAGGACCACGCAGCAGCCTCGGCTGTTGCACGAATGGGCAGGGTTGTTCGGGTGAGTACCACGACCTCACAGAAGACCGGTGACAAGTGGAAGTATAATTACTTTAGCGTTTCGTCTGGTGAGTGAGGTAGCCGGAGCCCAATTTTCAAAAGATTGCCATCTCTGTCTTCTCTCATCACTCTTCATCATCTGGACTCATCTACAACCCTCGAGTGTAGCTGATGTCCATGGGCAGCGGTATTCACTTAACATCAGGTGAACCGCCTGCTCGTTTGGAAACTTTTCACATAAAAAATGCACCAATTTCGCGCAGAAACTTAAAACGTAACGTCACATTCAAAACTTTTAATACTAATTCCTCCCCGCCATAACCATCATGTTCTATCCCACTCTATGAATTGTATTTAATCACAGCTTATATTAAGATAATGATGTCTGAGCTCTTGTCGGAAGAGTGTGTCTTGAGTGACAGCCTCGTATTGGCCATCGCATTGTATGACGACCCTGCACTAGATGGAGTGACGACCTATTATGCAAATGCGCGGGAAGTGGAAGGGTGCAGGTGGCTCAGGATCATGCTTCGGGGGAGGCACCTTTATTTAGTAGGTATACAATTGGTATAAAAAATTAATATAAAGAACTGTTTTATACAACACGTTAAACGTTATCGCAAACATAACTCATTTTACCAGGATTGAGAAAAAAAATACAAAAAATTTTAAGTGCACTGTGCACATGATATGAAAAAAGATGAATAGTTGTTATGATTAACTACTAATCAAATTTTATATTATAAAAAAATACGATGAGAATGTAGTTTACAACTGTAATAACACAACGTAAAAACACAAAAGAAAATAGTGAAAACGTCGATAGTGATGTATGGTTAAAGAAAGTACAAGACGCGAACGAAAAAGAAATGTGAAATAATAAATAATAAAAAAATATTTCATAATTTTTAAAACAAAATTATACTGTCAAATGAACCATAGACAAGCGGGGCGGTTCCATAGACTCACCCCGTTGAGGCAGTTCTCGCCGTTGAGGAACGCGCGGACCGGCGAGTCATCCGTGATGACCAAGGGCGCTTTATCGGGGGTGGGGGTGGCTTTCGCATCCCCCACGTCTTCTTCGTTCAGAGGGTGCAACTCGAACTTGAGTTGGGTCTCGCCATCCTGTAAACCGAGGGTCTACCCAATGACTTATATATTAAAATCTCTTTACACTTTAAGTGTTGCAATAATAAGTTGTTTAGGCAGTAGGCCTTAGCAACTTAAAAGATAACTATATCTGATGGTTAAATGCATCAATTCATAATCCGATTGGGGGCAGCTTTTTGTAGGTACACGTAAGACAGCCATTAACAGCGTTCTTATTGATTAATATCGGTAAGAGCGATGGAATGAAAACGTCTGGAGTGCAGTCGGTAAGTTAATGGCCTTGGCGTCCAGTCTTTCGAGTTCGATTCCCAAGCGGCGCAAGAATATGACAAATAATTATTCGAGACATGGACGTTCATTCCAAAGGAAAATTGACATCAGGAAGGCGATCGGTTGTAAAAACTTGCATATACAATATGATTCTATGAAGTACAATACAATATGATCTGTCATATACAATATGAGTCTATACAATATGATGTGTTGTGCCGACCCCGCCTAGTTAAGATAAAAGTAGGAGGCAGAAGGAAAAATGTTAGAACACTTTAGAGAATTTGTCTGACCCCAAAAAGTAATATTGCCACATGAATAAATATGGTAAGCAACAGCCTATGCCTCAATACTAGTCAGTCCTGAGTTCACCATTCGATCTGGGGCATGACATATCTTCGAAACATTTCATTTATTCCTTAGATATGCAGTTTCCGCAAGATATTTTCCCTCACCGCCAAAAACATGTGAACAAAATCACAGCTGCCACATCATATCACAGGTGCGAAGTTTTGAACTTAGGTTGATATGTCACTAAAGGAGTATGGACAAAGTAACAGTAGGTACTAGTAGTATATGAGATAAATAAACTACTTGATAACACCACAATTCATGCAACAGCAAAAATATTCTCATCTTTCCTACCACTATTTTCAAATTAGATAAACAATTGATAATAATAAAAAAAACATGCACTGTAAATATATTTATTACCTTATCAATTTTCTCAACTTTCAACACAGCCACTATATCCTTAACGTCTTCATCCTGAACAGTGTGCCAACATAAATGTTAATTAAGCAACTACATACAACTAAAACAGTATCTATATATGTATACTATATAAAAGGCAGAAAAAATAAAACTGAAAGCAGAAAATAGTTGATTATTGCACATTGGTCATCATACACAGAATAAAAAGTTCAACAAAAATCAAAGACTGAACAAATCTACCTACCTTAGGTAGATTGGCTAATGGCCAGTTTCAATATTCTATCTGTAGATTTGGTGACTAGCGATAGGTATTTCACATAAGCTCTATAAGACTTACGTCGAAATTTTAAATCTCCAGTAACCAAATCGGATATATCGATTAGATAGAATATCGAAACAGGCTGTTAATAAATGTGAACAAAAAAAATAATAAAATAACTAGTGGACCTGTCTGAATATTTCGCACATCATAATAATTTCAGATTGTCAATTGATGGTATATTCTTCCGGCTTTTTTGAAGCCTTTAAGAAGTCTGACACCAAGTGGTTATATAGTAATATCTTTATTTAAATAAATTGTTAATAGATGGCTCTTACATTTTTTATAAGAAATTTTTAAACAAATTTATTTTTGTGATAGCATTAACTTTATTCCACTTGTCTATGTTTTGTCAAGTAGCAGCAAACAAAAGCTATAAATTGAGTTTGAATCATTACATTCGACAAATAAATGTGGAAGTATGGAACAAAAAACACCTTTGAGAAATGACAATATTTGACTGTCACAGTCAACTACAATAGGAACACAATTCCTTCTAAATTTTTATTCATATTATTTATGAATGTTTGTTTGGTTATTTATGACTCTCTATTTCTCAATAAACAGTCAGGGTCTCTATGATTTAAACATTGATCCAAAACATAAATCCTGTTAGATTAGTTTAGTTGCTCTATTTGATCGGCATTTTAAAATTACAAAAATTGTCCTGGCTACTGTACTCATAAATTCTAAAGAATATGCACAACTACTCATCTATTACACACATTCTACAAACATTTGAAAACTAATGTTAAAATAACTAAATATATTGATACATAGCACAAAGATACTCACATGGTTATGCAGTGTCCTCATTGTGTCATAACGGAACTTTAAGTCTTCAAATTCCATTTTGGTTAAGCTTGCAGGTTTTTTACCAGTGCCATGAACTGGGAAACAATTGATCATGTTCTCACTGACATCTTTTGGCTTGAACTGCGGATGCTCACAAAGCAGCGGTGAAAGTATAATTATCTCATATTCGCAGGTAGCAGTCTCCTTGAAAGAGTACACCTCATGTTTGCCATGACTATAGCAAACATAGTAAACTCTCGTGAGCCGTGGTTTATTGTTTAAATCACATATACTACCTGTAAAATGTATATAATTTGTTGGTTTTAATGTTTTGTTTAGTGTTATATAAAATAATAATGTAATATTTTTTTAAACTCTGTAATGTTCTTATCCTAATTATTTGTAAAGGGATTACAAGTACCTTATTTTGTTACTGATGATCATATTAATCTGTTGTTTAACTTAGGAAATAATAAGAAAATATAATTTGGTAGAGCCCTGCAGTTGCTTGTGCTATTGCATGGTGGGCCGGTTTGTCCCAGAAAGTACTACAGCCTCACAGAAGACTGGCATGAAGTCGAAGTATGTAACATACCTTCGTGTTTACCCTGGAGAGTGAAATAACCATAGCCCACTTTTTTGAATGTGGGCGAAATATTTGCGGTTGCATGTTGTTCAAGTGTTGCACATGTTTGAGGCAACAGTAGTCACATAGGTGAACCATTTGCCTTTTTAATTTTCACAATTAAAAAAAAAACATTTACTTTTTTAACAGGAAAATATTTACCTCCATCCATCACCATTTCAACAGTAGGTAGGGCAACTCCTTCAAACTTAATTGTTTTGGGCAGTACTTTAGTCTCTTGGGCAGACTTAAGCTCTTCAGAAAGCCTGGCTTGGCTGTCCACGCTCCATAGGCCAAGGTAAAACTCTTGCAATTTTGTATGTTTACCTGCAAAATAGATGATACAAAAATATATATTTTCAAATTGTCAAACACATCAAATGAAACACTTGAGATGCATTAAATAATGCAATGAATTAAAACCAAGTGCCCATACAATGAGCTATCAAAGCTACAGTGAAAGTGATAATTTTAAGTGCTGACTTTTCACATGCTCAGTTGTGAAAGAAAACATTGTGAGGATACCTACATATTTTGAATATAATAATAAAAAAATATATTTCTAAGATATGTAAAGTTTGCCACTCCCATGGGGTAGCATGGTGAACTATTCCCTAAATACCCTCTGTACGATGGATGTCTTTGCCTAAATATAGAGGCTGTTACTTTACTTTAAATAAACTATTGGCAGGCTTTACTTTGTTTAATTTTTTGATAACAAATGGTATAACTGAAAAGGTATACAACATGTCTCGCTTGAATTGTGAGTTTTATGTGATATTTTCATTAAAACTTTGAAAACCATATTTATCAGCTATTATAACTGAAATTAAATAAATTTTTAGTCTAACAAAATATCATAAATCAACCTTTACCTTCCCTTTCCTCATGGTACTGCCTGATATATCTTCCATGGCATACTTCATAACTCCAATAACTTTCTAATCTATATGAACAAATTTTTTGAGAAAACAATGGGTTCAACAGACTTATTGGGGATGGGCCGACATACTCTGCTGTATTATCTGTCTGCTTTGATTCAAGCTCTGGTAAATGACATTCATATTTTTCATTGTCACTTGTTTTTACTTTCATAACATTCTCAACCTAAAAGAGTAATATCAAGTAAGATCATAAGGAATAGAAATATTCTTTAATTAAGTAATATAATCAGTGGACAAAACTATTTCAATACAAACTGTGTTTTAACTGTGGTAGAGCCACACTGCAGCCTTGGCTGTTACACGAATGGGCCGGCTCGTCCAGGTAGGTACCACAACCTCACAGAAGACTGGTGTCAAGTGGAAGTATAACTACTTTTGCGAGTGAGGTAGCCCGAGCCCAATTTTCAAGAGGTTGTCAATCATCTGCAACCCTCGGGTATAGCTGATGTCCATGATGCGGTATTCACTTAACATCAGATGAACCGCCTTCTTGTTTGGCAACTTTTCACATAAAAATAAAAATCATTACAACTACAGTCTAAATGACAGCATGATTACAAAATACAAAAAATCTACTGCTCAATGCGTAAACACTTGATAACTACCCAAGGATTTGTTAAAAATTAAAGCTTTGGGTTCAAAACTTATTTCCATATTCTAATTATACAATAAATTCTCATATCATTACAAATAAGGTATGGCCGATATTTTTGGTACTGTTTCATGCAATAGAATTATTGAATTTTCACCCGTTGACATTATTTATTATACGTATTTTCCTTACTTGAGGTTTGTTAGCTTCGGCAGCTACATTTTCTAAAACATCACTTGATCCAGGCCAATTTATGCCAAACAATATACTATCATCAAAGCCCTGGAAAGTCATGTTCTATACATTTAACTGCTGTAACACTTAGAACTATAAGCCAAACTCTTTTCATTCTTGCAAACGAAATATATCACTTCCTACACATAAGTATGTGTTGTTGCTTGTTCATTACACTAACTAAATATACTAAATAAAGTGCTGGGGAACTTTATTTCGAATAATGATTAGCACATCAAAACATATGAATTATTCTCAGCTTAAATTATGAAGAAGTGAAGAAGTGAACACTCTTATTATGAATGATATACTGAAAATTGTGCAGATAACAACTTTTTTCATTAGCTGGATAATACTTCAAATTCCAAATGACCTGGAGAGTTTTAATTTGTCAATTGTCATTGTCAATAGTGACGTACCAAACAGATTTTTGTTATTAAGATTTTTTTGATAGCATTGTTGCGTGGTTAGCCCAGCGGCATTGACAAGTTCGTCGGAAGAAGCCGAAGAGATACGTACCGAAGAGGTATAATCAGGAGAAACACCGATTTCACTATGGCGGCGTCCGCAACACTGCATTTCCGTGATACGATCCAAGAACATCTTCAATGGAAGTTTATGATTTCTCGCAAACCGCAGAGTGTACATCTGGGCTGTTCAGTGCTACCGAATGGTCTCTGAAAAGATGCCTTGTGACCAGATCCTCTTGGGCTAGGAGAAGTAGTTATCTGTACTGGGTAGCGAGGAGGGAATATGCTATTCAATATCGACAATGTCTTTAGATTTATTTTCACAGTAAAAAAAATCAATCTCGAAATATGAGCAGGCTCGTACGGATAAGTATCACGATCTCACAGAAGACCGGCGTAGCCCAATTTTCAAAAGGTTGTCAACGCATCTGTAACCCTCGGTTGTAGTAGATGTCCATGGGCGGCTGTATTCACTTAACATCAAGTGAACCGCCTGCTCGCTAGTCCACTTTTCACATTAAAAAAAGATCTTAAAAACTTAGCATGCTTGACCCGCGAAGTTAACCGCTAAATAAAAAATCATTCATGATGATCGTCTGAGTGCCGAGGTGGCAGAACAATCATTTAAGGGGCATTGAATTATGATCGACTCCCATCCGTTAGTAAATGTAGAAAAGTCCGCATGCAGAATCGCTATGAGGGGCCATCATCTAATCATACTTATTGATATAGAACAGGCTTAATTTAGCTACTGTCGCTAGGAGTGCCCCAGAGACTCGTGAAAATCATAAGAGACTACTCGTTGAACCATCGATTTTATTTTCGAGTCAATGGAGCCTATTCCAACTGCCACCTCTCAGAGCCTGCACCCTCTAGAGATGATTGGTATTATCCCCGACTATACCCTCTCTATAGTATACACTTAGATGTCGCTAACAAACAAAGCAATGAACGATATATTTAAAAGACAACAAAGCGATAACACGTGAATCTGTCATATATGTCATTCTGAATGAAGTAATAGTTTTTGTTTCAGTTTCTCCTGTCATATTTGTTTTTGTCAAAATGGCGTTTAGCTTTCCAGCCTTTTCCTATATTATAGCGTTAATTGTTGACGCATTTCTTATATTTTTCTCTATATTCCATGTTATAGCGTTCGATGAATTGAAAACTGATTATAAGAATCCAATTGACCAGTGCAATAGCCTCAACCCTGTTAGTATTTATTAACAAGTTTATGGCGGCATCGTACAAAATGTAACACAATTATTGGTTTTCAGTTGGTGCTACCTGAATACTTATTACATTTATTAATTAATGTATTGTTCTTGCTTTCCGGCGAATGGTTTTCTTTGTTGGTTAATGTACCTTTGATACTGTATCACATTCACAGGTAAGTTAGGTTATGTTAGTCATCATAAATAATTTTGCATATTTAGAATTCTCGGCTTTTTCAAATACGCCAAAGTAACACATTATGCATATTATTTGATCACATTTTATACTCTTAGCCCGGCTATGAAAACAATATATTGGGCGAAGCTAAAAGTGTTGTGATCTATTTATTAAACATGTTCACATTAGCAATAGTATAATAATAAAGATGATCTCAATATAGCAACTATATAAAATAAAGTATATTGATTATATTTTCATATGCATTTTAATGTACATCTTAAAAAGCAGCAAAATATTAAAATTTCCTATACATATAATTTATTAAATATACTGTTAACAATTGTTATTTACAGATATAGAACAAGGCCTGTAATGTCTGGACCTGGCCTGTATGACCCCACAAGCATTATGAATGCAGATGTCCTCACAGTATGTCAGAGGGAAGGCTGGATAAAATTAGCCTTTTATCTCCTGTCATTCTTTTTATATTTATATGGGTGCGTTTATTTATTAATTTAAAGTATTCTTTTATCATTGTTAATCAATAACCACATGTTAAAATGTATATATGCATGTTACAGGCACAGCTAAGTCCATTTGAATAATTTTGTCCAAATCTCACAGTTACAATAATTATTTGTTAATGTCTAAATATTTTTAAACATTTAATAAGACATAGACTACTAGAGTTATACCAGGTATGGTTATAAGTAACTCAAAAGAGCTATGCTGAACTGTAATCCTTATTTTCATCTATTTTTCCAATTGCATAAGCTTCATACTATTACAGTAGTAATATAATTTATAATATTTATTATAGTATTATAATTATAGTATTATAATTATAGTATTATAATTATAGTATTATAATTATAGTATTATAATTATAGTATTATAATTATAGTATTATAAAATAATATACTCTGCAATTTTCAAGGTCAAATAGTCATATATTACATTTCATTTAGTATTGTGTGTATTACTAGTATTGGAAGAAATATAAATGTTTGCTTATGATAGTTCCTAGATCAACAACATAATTCCTTGTTTTCAACTCTTTCAATCATTCATGATCATTTCTTTTTTCAGTATGATTGTGGTGCTGATAGCTGCTTGAAAATTAAAAAGTATTAATACAGAAGTGCATTTTTCCATAAGTCCTTATTTATTATTAGGTGTCCCTAAGAAACTGAAAACTGAGAACAATTTTAAGATTTTCTAACGCTGTTACGTTTGTTGTGTATTTTGATAATAAATACTGTAACATTATCCTTTTTTTATTTATGAATAAGCTAATATTGAACCATGATTACCATAATATGTATATGCATTTCTAGCCAATAAATTTAATTTATTTACAAATTTGATGTGTAATAATGGTTCTAGCTGTAAGTTTTCGAAAATATATAAAATGAAATAATTATAACAGCCTATAAATATGTTGGTTTATTCGGCACAGGGTGTTGATTTCATAGCCTGCCACATGTCTTAATTGTAGGTTGGAAGATAATGCATGTTTTCAATAAATAAAATGTATTATTACTCAGACAACAAGGTTTCATGGCAATGGGAGCATAATTTGGGCTTAATCAGTGCTGGAATTTGAAATCATTTTATTGATACCTACCAGTATTGAGGTTTGATTATGAACTTAAGTGCAACAAATTTAATTTGATCCAGTAATACTTGCTATGGATGGATTATTCTAGAAAGTCAAATATTAATAGATGCTATTTTCATATTATTGTGAAAGACGCCTGGCAATTGGGCCTGCAGGAATTCACCATGGTCATAAAGGGTTGGCTTTGTGGCTTAGGGCCCTAAAGGCGTTGCCGAAGCTGGCAGTGCTGGTGGGGTTTCGTATGTGTTTGTAAGCGTTCCGATGACGCCGCCAATATACATCCTAGAAAGAAAACCGTGAGGTTTTAGTACTTATTAGTTCGAAATTACCCATCCTCACCAATTAGTATGCATTTCCCCAAGTAAATAAAGAAAAAAAAAAGACCAGCTTATAGCAGGTAACAACAAGGTACAAACCTATTAAATTAGGGTTACTTACCGCCCGCACTTTGGGTGCACTAGGATGAGATATAGCTGTCGCTTGCCTAGTACAATAAATTAACTTGAAAAAATAGTTGTCTATGGTGAGATTTGTATGTGGATTTTACCCACAAATGATGGAACCTGAATACTGGGTTGTGTAGAAAAAATACCGTCTGCAATGGCTACTGATTAAAAAAAAGTTTTTGTTAAGCACCGCCGCCAATGGACAACAACACACGTAATGTCGCAGATATTGTTCGACGACCCGAATGGCGTCGTGGGTAGTGTACATGCCTCCTGCGCCAGAGGGTGTAGGTTCGATCCCCACTACTGGAAAAATATTGTGTGATGAACTTGGTGTTTTCTAGTGTCTGGGTGTTTATGAAATGAAATGAAAATGAAATGAAATATGCTTTATTGTACACCAGACATACGCTATTGTTAAATTAAATATAGTATTATAGTATTAAATAATATTATTAATAATAAATATAGTATTAAATATAGGTATTATAGATACACAACACTACTATACACAAATAAATGCATAAAGTAAATAAATAAATAAATGAATATATATATATATACAGCGTGTCGTTACCAACGCGACAATAAATGAACACACGACATAACACAACAGAGGATAACTTTTTAAAATTGTATTATACATTTACATTCTTTAAACATCAATATTTACCGAGTTATTAAATTTTCCAAAACAAACAATTTTAGAACACCCGTTACGTATAAAACTGTAATATAAAGTTCATTTGTAAAGGTCACAAAGAATATGAATGGGTTGAATGAATTTAAAAGAGACAAAACATTCTGTTAGAAGGAGAGGCTTGTAATGAGACGCTGTGGCGCGAGTTGTATAAGTTGTTACAAATTTAGTTTCTTTTTTACTTAATTAGTTTGTTTGAAAAATATGTTTTTTTAATTATGGATTTTGTTTAACGTTAATTTTTTTTTATGATTATTGGCAAGTAGCGTTAGACGTGTGTTCATTTATTGTCGCGATGGTAACGACACGCTGTATATATATATATATATATATATATATATATATACATTTACAAAAGTATATGTATTTATTTTTTTACAGTTTATAAATTCATTTACAAAAGAAAACTATGTTAAAGTATATTTATCAGTTATCTAGTACCCATACAAGCGTTGCTTAGTTTGGGACTAGAATATTACGTATTTAATAAGTATTAGTAAGTATAATGTAAGTCTTCTGTGAGGTCCTGGTACTCCTCGTATGAGACAGTCTATTGGTGCAACATAAGAAACTGCCATATGGTCCTAAAATATAAAAAATCGTTAAAATAGATGAGCATGAGATGCGTCGGTGACGTTTTGAGAAATTAGATTCCCTATCTTTCTAGAGATCTCTCAAAGTGCACTATACATTACTATGCATTAGAAAGAAGTAATTTCTTGTAGTTACATCTCTAAGAATTTGACCTTAATTAAGTTCTAAGTCAAAGTATAGTTAATCTATCTTAACACGACTCTATATACATTTGTCCTTTCATTTTATCATTTCTGATTAGTTTAATGAGCTTGTGTAATAAATTGTGTGTGCAACAAATACTGTTATCTCTCTCCATTGCCATATGTAAGCGCACTCTGAAGAAATAAACAAGAGTATTTACGAACAGCTTTTAAATGAAAATAATCGTACTTTATTCCGTACTTCTGAGGACCTCACGGTGGTAGGGCCACTGTTGCACGAATGGGCAGGCTCGTCCGGGTAAGTTCCACGGCCTCACAGAAGACCGGCGTAAAGTGGAAGTATAATACTTTCGCGTTTCGTCTGGTGAGGTGGCCGGAACTCAATCTTCAAAAGGTTGTCAATGCATCTGCAACCCTCGGGTGTAGCATATGTCTATGGGCGGCGGTATTCACTTAACATCTGGTGAACCGTCTGCTCGCTTGGAAACTTTTCACATAAAAAAAAACTGTTATGAACGCTAAGTTTCACAGTTTACTAGTTAGGTTTTTAAAGCAGCTGGTGGAAAATTTTAAAGTTAATTAGTGATTTTATTTATCTTAAGTTGAGTAAAGCGGTCATGATGTCTTATTTTCCAGGACACATAGTTATCAGTTATACGGTGGTAGGGCCACGCAACACTGTTGCACGAATGGGCAAGTCCGTCCGGATAAGTACCACGACCTCACAGAAGAGCGGTGTAAAGTAGAAGTGTTAAACTTCTGCGTTTCGTCTGGTGGTGGTAAACGGGGTACATTTTATTTAAAGGTGGCAACGCATTTGAAACCATACGGGTGTTGCAAATGTCCATGGGCGATGGTCATCACTTAACGTCTGGTGAACCGCCAGCTCGTTTGCCACTTTCTTACATAAAAAAAAAGAGTTCGATGAAACGATCTCAATTGCGAGCACATTGATTGCGGTTAGAAAACATATTTTAAATCATGCCTTTAGCAAAATTTAGATTCGGCGTTACATTTTTTACAAGAAATTTATCAAGTTTGTAAGATGTTAAATAGAATTTAGGCAGAAGTAGCAACTGCTAAATATTCAATAAAATTATTGGTATGTTACCAATAATTTTATTGAAGGGTCGGAAGATATTCTTAAGAAAGACCCTTCATCGTCATCGCCACCGGCCTATAAGTCTACTGGACATAATTCTCTGCCAAGGCGCACCGGTATCTTTGAGCATATCGTGACTCAACTTACCCTTTGCGAATCTCATTATTTATATATTATACGTGCCACGTACCGTTTTTACAAATAAAAATATAGTGTCATAATAGGCAATGATAAATATTTATAAACGGAGAAACAAAACTAATAATGAGTAGCAAAAGATTTGAAAGAAAGGTTTATTTTGAAATTGGAATCAACAATTGAAGCATTTAATAGGCTGGGTCATTAAAATGAAAAGTTGTTTACATAAAAAGCTGAACTTGTTCTTTTTCAATGCGCTTGAAAATATCAACTGTCTAACTATCACGGTTCATGAGATACAGCCTGGTGACAAACGGACAGACAGACAGCGGAGTCTTAATAGTAAGGTCCCGTTACCGCTCACCGTTACCGAACCCTAAAAACCATCGTCATCCTCTTGACTTTATCCGACCTAGATGGGGTCGGCTAAATATGTGAATGATGTTGTTAACGATATTGGATAGGTTTAACTATCTGCCGCCTGCTTGACGTCAACCATCCTCGGGAACAAACATCCACATTCTGCATCTGGATGTTTGCTCCCGAGGTCACATAAATACTTGGCCTGTGTGTAATCAAACTCACGACCCCCAGGGCCGGAGTAACCGAGTCATCCGATAAGAAGGAATAAAATTAATTTCTTATTTTTTCCTGCTTCCATATCATAACTTTCAATTATTTATGTAGGGTAAAGTCTAATTAAGATAGTAACTTCCATCGACCAAGCAGCGTCTTCTATTGCATTAATGGGGGCAAGCTCGTGGAAGTGTTAATAAAAAATACATTTAGAACTAAACTTAAAATACTTTTAAATTTTGTCTCAATTGACATAGTCGGGCTACTCTTTTAGAGATTGGCAAGGCTGATCTTACCTTAAAGCTGATTTATTATCCCCCAGATATTGAGTCCTTCTCAATTTACGTTTCATTACCTTTCAGAATAAATATGTCGTGTCACTTATAAGAATATATTGTAACTTACTTATATTCGTTTACTTTAAAAATTACAGTAAAGAAATTAGTGTAAAAAACTATTTTACCGTTTGCATTTCATACTGAAGTTGTTATAACAATTACTTATAGGAAACACATTTAACTTACATTTTCTAAAATCTTGATCCAGTGGTGTACCTTAAACGACAAAGCTAAAATTGTCTCAAGGCAGAAGCGCAAAACAAAATCAAAGCGCGTGAACCTTGTAAATTCAATTCGCACAAGATAATAGGTACAATAAGGAAAGTATTTCTTCCCTCAAGGTAGTGGTATATACATTTCTTTTAAAATATTATAAAAAATCTAGTGTTTCCACAAATATCGACACATTTTAGGTTTTTCGTGAAAAAAATAAAAGTAAATATAAAAATACACCTTATTTATGTCGCGGCATAAAACTACAATTATTATGGCAGGAAAACGGCGCACATAAAGAACAGACGGCCATTATAGCAGTGATCTTACTTATACTTAATACTATAATACATTTCCTCATTTTTACATTAGTGATTTCAATTTTAAGTTAGTTTCCTTCTAATGTTACATTAAATTTCTGTAAATTAATGAAGTGTCATAATGTGAGTTAACCGCAATACGGCACAAAAGCTAGATTGTCTTATAACTTGCGCCATACACAAAAGGGAAAAATTGTGTTGTTCAGTATTGTTGTCAGCTGTATTCGAACTGATTAGTAAATGATTCTGATCTTTATCTCAAGTGCAGTACAGATAAAATCGTAATTGCACGTGACCTGCACTTGAATGCGACATACGTTAAAGCTATCAATGAAGTAAGGTTATTTCCTGAGGATACTACACCCGCTGACATTGTAAATTCAACGAAGTGTACTGTAATATTTTCTCCTATACCTGTTTCTAACAGAAACCACACTAATCCTGCGTTTAATGCCACATAAGGGCAGCACGAAATGTCATAGTAATGGAATAGTTTCATAACGCGAATAATACACACATTTAATAAAACTATTTTACGGTTTTGAACGCGGTTTCCATTTGATTTAAACTCCTGTTTCGAATAATCATTCTGCTGTTTAGAATCCTATCTATATATTCCAGGTTTTACTTGCTCTTTTCGTTCGTCCGATTTATGCGAACTAACATTGATAGTCAATTGAATCAGATTGAACAAAAAAATGATTACAAAAAAATGTTTATCTTCTTCATCGAGATTTTTGACGGAACTCCGGTGCAGAATTAGTAATTATTTCTGTGACTAGTCTTATTTATGGAAATGCAACAGGTTCTCGCTATACCGGTACGTTTCAAGCGATCACTTGGTGGAAGTTTGTTGCCCTGGGAACTTGCTGAACACGTTGCCGCTTAACGGCCAGATGTGTGCTGCCTGTGTTGTCACAGGTCCGATGTGCTCTTTGAATCAAAGATTTACCCAAAGTAGCTGAATGGGAAGGGTAGTAGTGAGAGCTACGATTTAGTTATCAGTTGAGTTTATGAGTCAAGGTAGTCTAAAAGTCTATTTACTTACGCCCGATTTCAATATTCTCTCTACAGATAGATGTGGTTACTGGAGATAAAATATTGATATAAGTATTAAGGACCTAATGTCAAATACCTATCGCTAGTAACTATCGGCCGTTAAACATGCATTGACGGATTACCAAATTCTAAACTTGTTATCTACATCCATTCTATTCTTCCATAATTGTTTAAACCAAATGAAGAACAGGAATAACTCCCGTGAAATTTATAACATATACTACCGTGATAGCTCATTTACCGGGCGCTCGTTTTTAATTCAATATACCCGAACGGCACCAATGAAATTGATAATTTTAAGTGCTGACTTATCACGTACTCAGCGGTGAAGAAAACATCGTGAGGTTTTGTGAGCAGGTTTCCTGCATCTTTTCGAAATAACAAAAAAATATATTGAAGATATGCTACGTCTGTCAATCCGCAGTGGGTTCGCGTGGTAGACTATGCCCTAATACCCTATGTACAGAGGAGGCTTTTGCCCAACATGTAGAGGCTTTACTTTTACTACCATACACAAACTACACACTGTACACTTCCGACTTTATAATTTAGTTGTAAAATAAGTACTGAAACCTCGTATGTATGAGTTCCAAACACTAAAAATTCACCCCTCGTTTGTCAATCATCAACGTACTTCCTCAAAACATCTAAGATATTCATAGCACGGAGTATTTCCTTACTTTTAACAGTATTTAAGGAAAATAATTCAAGTAACATATGCAAAACTAGTGACAAATAGAGGTCAATGTATGCATAAGCTTGTTTCGCACGCTATAAAGGCTTCTTAAGGCTATTCTATAATGCACTTTGTTCTAATTTCGTAAGTCTTTCATGAAGATAAAAAAATCTTTGATAACACCTATGTTATGCGAGATAGATTTAGTTTTTTTTTTTTTTTTTTTCGAATTGTAGGGTAGGTACTGATAACGAAACGCCACGTATTTCAACGCGACCCAAATGACAGTTTCTTTCAATTATGTTTTAATACTTGTTTATACAATGTGTTTGATTTCATTGGTCAAAAGAGTGTTGGTAACATCTTAAGATGAGAAGTAGTCAGGTATGGTTTAGTTTTGTGCACATATATGGCACAGTATCTTTGTTAGGTATTCGTGTATGGTCATCGAGCATCGTTAAATTTGTAAATTTCATGTATCATAATGGATAAATTGTATATAAACGAAGTTGTGTGTAGGGCAATGGGGTCTTAAACTTAAAAATTTGCAAATTTCTGTTCAGATTAAGTATTTTTAGAGTTAATAATAAATGAAAACTTACCACCAGGTGACTAAGTCTTTGGGTAGGGAAATAAAAAACTTTCTCTAAGAGTTTTATATGAAAGCATCAAAAAAAACATTTCTCGAGTACTTTATACTTCTGATTTATATTATAAATGCGAATTTGTTACTTCATCCTTCTTTAACTTACGGAGCAACTGATCGACATGATTTACGCAGTCTACTTATTATGCCATTTTTCTGTGGAAATATATCTCAAGCGAAATTCTAGATCTTAATCGCGAGTGATGGAAACATTGATGACTCAGGACATCTAATGCCCACGCGAGTGAGCCTGCAGACTTAAAGGCTGTGTCCGCTTAATAGTCTGCTTCCCCTTAAAGGCTGTATCCTCCTACTTTCCTTCGAATTTTTAAAAAGATGAAATTAATTTGCCTATATTTTTCTTAGCTTTAGAAATATTGTTCACACTATAGGTTACTATCAACCTATGTCGCGCAGGCGTTTTACAAACAATTGTATAGGTACATAATTGTTATATTTCATAAGACACCAATAATTGACCAACATGAAGTTTGACAAGTAAATTTCCGTTAACGAGCGTAATATATACATAATGTAGGGTTTTAAATGTGGTATATAGCATGAGGAACACTTTATATTTTCTTATCTGTTCATATAAAATGTAAGTAATTTAACTGTCATAATATTGTGCATAAAAGCTTTCGATAAAAAATATTCTTAGGGCTACTCGCAAAGTGGGTTATGCGATTGCGTATTTTTTACATTGACAGTTATCCAGCAGGGGTCGGCAAAACTGAATAATTCAAAGAAATGTCCATTTAAAGGTCATCGGGGCATATATTTTGTTGTAAAGACCGTCATGTTTCAATTGTCGATCGGCGCAGCCTCAAGTACTATGCAATGGACCAAATAAAAGTAAATTGGACTAAACTACCCACTGACAGCCATAGGCGTATATAGCGGGGGGGGGGGGGGGGGGTAGATATTCATCATCATCATCATATCAGCCGTAGGACGTCCACTGCTGAACATAGGCCTCCCCCATTGACTTCCACTTCGACCGGTCGTTAGCGGCCTGCATCCAACGCGTCCCTGCGATCTTGGCTAGGTCGTCCGTCCATCTTGATAGATATTGAATTTCTCGAATTTTCTCTACTATAATATGCATATATCCTACATGTAAACCTTCCACTTGAATAATATCTATTGCTGAAAATCGCATCAAATCGTGCGTTGTTCAAAAGTTCTACAGTGTTCGATTTTTTTTGTAGTAAGGGCCCGGGCCTCTGGGCCCTTACTACAAAAATATCCCTAGATACGCCAATGCTGACAGCGCGTTTGTTTGTTAGTTAATTGTGCTTCTACAAACAATGAAGAAGAACATAACACCTTTTAAGATGGACGTAGGTATATTCTTATTATTTAAATGATACAAAAATTTATTACACTTTAAGTATTCCTTTTAGCTATAAGCGAGAATAAAGATCAACAAAAATTATCGGAGTCGAAATGCTAAACTATTTAACATACCATAAAGCACAATTCAGTTCGCTCAAGATAACCCAATTTACAGAATGTGTTCCATCTACAACGAGTTTATCGTTAACAGCAATCATTCCAAAGATATTTTCTACCAAAAACTGAGTACATTCAAACAAAGTATCAGATGCCCATAATGTGTTTTTGTTCATTTCTTTTCTTATTTTATAATTTTTTAATTTTGTTTTTAGCAGTTTTTGTTTTTAGGAGTTTAATCTATAATAAATTGAGGATAAAACATTGTTTCGATTTCGACGATATCGTAGCATGATGTGTGCGCATATTTTTGGCTGACAGTATGTATCTAACCCTTTACCAAATAGTTAAAATAAAAATAAAATCCGTAAACATAGTTTTGGCCAATTAAGTTGAAAGCTTACAATTTAAATATTGATATAATTTGACAAATTGACATCAAAATGTCGCATAAATGATGAATGAATATGATTCGAGTGAAAATGTCCATCTAAAAAAGCCACGAAAGTTCAAATGTAATTCAACGTCCCAATTATCTAACGCCAAATAAGATTAACCATGCGCATTTATCGTACAGCGATAACTGCTGCTTTGGCTGGCGTTGTCTGCTAAGTTAATAGACGGGACACTGCGTTCCCATTGTGCTATCTCGGGCGGCGGTCATGTGGGCAATTCTGAAAATAACGCTCCATCGTTGCGTGCTGCGAATGTGACAACTGCCGTTGGTCCGGTGCGCGGCCAGTAGTTACTGAGACACGGCGAGAGAAACGCGCGCGATGCGTTCCCGCCTACTGCTTTGCTTGCTAGCGATCGGGCTCGCCGCCGAGGTCCGCTCCGCGCGGGTCCTCGGCCTGTTCCCGCACACCGGCAAGAGCCACCAGATGGTCTTCGAGCCGCTGCTCCGCGCCTTAGCCGAGAGGGGCCACCACGTCACCACCGTGTCCTTTTTCCCGCTCAAAAACCCGCCCGCGAACTACACGGACGTGAGCTTAGAAGGCATAGCGGGCTTAGGCGTCGAGACCTTCGACCTGTCGATATACGAAGCGCCGAGCCTGCTGCTGAAGATCCCGGTCGTGAAGAGGATCGCGAAGCAGATAATGGAGTTCCACCCTCTAGCCGGTATGGCTCTGAACGTATGCGGGAAAGCGCTCGACTGGCCGCCGCTCGTTGAAGCGCTCAAGTCCGACTACGACGTGGTGCTGGTGGAGAACTTCAACAGCGACTGCATGCTCGGTCTCCTCCATGTATACGGAATACGGGCGCCCGTGGTCGCTCTGCTGTCGTGCAACCTCCTGCCGTGGTCGGCCAACAGAGTCGGCGTCTTCGACAATCCAGCACACGTGCCGGTGACCAGCACGCATTTCACTGCGCCGATGACGTTCGCGGAGAGATTGGAGAACGCGTTCATGCACTTGTATCACAGCCTCTGGTTCCACTACGCGGTGCAGGTAAAGGAGCGCGAGCTGATCGAGAAGCGTTTCGGCAGGAGGATCCCAGAGCTGCAAGACCTGGGGAAGAACTATTCGCTGATGATGGTGAACACTTTCCACGCGCTGAACGGTGTCCGACCGACCGTGCCGGGCGTGGTCGAAGTTGGTGGCATGCACCTGGATCACACGCGGAAAGTAATACCACCGGTAAGTTAAATTTTTTGTACATAAATGAACAAAATCTTTCGGCGCTGCGGAATCGAACCTGCCAGATAAAATTCTCATACCATTGCATTCATTGTAAGGGACATGATTTATCGCTTTCGATGTGTACATAAATTTTAAAATACCGTGCTGTTCGATTATCAAAAGTAATCAGTCTCAAGCCAGAAGCTATTCCTGCCAGAAGGTTGTTAGTAGATATATATTAAATCATCATGGAGGCTAAACTTTAATCTTTTTTGCCGTTAGTGATTTAACTTAAGTCTGAATGACTTTCGCGCGAAAGCCCACGATAATGTATTACGTAGAAATACCGTGATATGCAGTTGACCGTGTCGCATTAATCTGACGGAAGGTTTGAACGCAGCGATATAGACCGCGATGAAAACTTTATGTTAACAAACTTCAAGTTAACAAAATTATTAGATAAAAATAGTTAAAACTTTAAACATTAACGAAATTATGCTATTCCGTCTTTTCCGAATCAATTAAATTTTTTAAACACAAGGCAGCACAATATATAAGTACTGACTTAGGTACATTTAGCTAAAAGTTGATATTATATTAGGGCAATGAAATTTCATCTTTGAATATGTCCACTGTGTTCTAAGCAATTAAGATAATACAACCGTTAGAAACTTATTATCTTTAAGCATTATTGACATATGTGCACGTATAATTTAAAACAGATAATTTTCCTTAACAGATTGCGTTTTATTGAATCCATTGTAATGTAAAGTGACAAGTAGTCAAGAAATTGATATCACAACTCCGTATTTACTTTCCCTATTTAATTGCATATTATCAGTTCTCGAATATAATTTTGATGATTAGCGTTTCAGTGTGAAGAAATCAAAAGCTGCTTAATGAATTAAAACTTATTTGAGTAATTTGTAATCAAAACAAACTGCAACGTTATTTTGCTTAGCATCCTAAGTATCTTGAATGCAGGAATCGACCGCCACACTCACAGCTATAAAGCTAACGGTTTCGGCCAGACCACGATGGTAGCTTCAGTTTTGATCAAGTCCATTGATCGAACTTTCCAATCGATTTACAATCGACCGTATACATAGACTATATTTTATTTTAGATTCGTACAATTTGAAACGTAAATTTCGTAACCCCATTTGCAAACACAAATAATCATAGTCTTCTTAAAACACATGATGTGCTCTGTGAAAGTTCCCGCTGATCATAGTATGTTCTATATTCGCGGTCCCATCTAACGCGAAGGGCTGTGTCAAGTTCTGCGTTCGACGAAGCTGTAATAGAAAGCATCATCACACTACAAAGTTACAGAATAAAACATTTGTTTGCATATTTAAAGGAACTTTAGAAAGTATTGACTTGTTTAGGTGCACGCAAATCTGACACCCGTGTAATCGCGAAATGAAAGTTGTTTTTTTTTTACCTCATCCGCTCTCCTATTCGATACGATTAAAATGGCCGAGATAACTGTTCCGCTCGTAGGAGACGGATGGATGCTATTTTTTACTGAGATTTACGGTTATGTACCGTTCCTCTCCATCAGCTCTGTCATATTGGCAATAACGATTGGATCAAGATTCGATCCCGTGTACCAATTGTTAGTTTATTAGCTTTAACTCACTCGTGATGTTAAGTGCGAGTAGGTCTTGCGCTCTAAATGGTTCCGTATAAATTTTTAAAATTTGTAAACATATATAAACAATATATTAACTTCCATAAACAATATATTCCTTCTATAAACAATTATATAAACATGAGACATAAACGCACGCATGCATGCATTTATGAACACGATATTTATTTATATACAGACGATGGACAGATTCATGGTAGAACACTACACTGTACCTTTGATTAATAATTTTGAGGATTGTAACATATGCAGCGGTAGGATATATAATGTTTGTCAGGAAAATACAGAATAGAAGCATTTCGAGGTATCGCTACAAAACAGCAATAGTTAATGTCCAATGATCCAAAGTTTAATGGAACGTTACAAATATCTAGGTTAAGTTACGAGACTTTCTTACGTAAGTGTACTCTTGCATCAAAATCATTAATCTAATTATCCAGTTGTCAGGTTGCCTGTACGGTGAACAGTAAACAGTTGGCAAGGGTCGTGTTTCCACTTTAAATGGAATTTTACAGCACTATTATAACCATGCGTCAAAACAAATTATAATAAGTACCTATTTATCTTTATTTTCTTATGAGCCATATAGCTCACTGTCTGTGTGCTCGCAATTAATTCAAAACATTTTATAATTTTTAGTGCTGCTTTTACGTCTAACTGTGGTAGGGCCACGCAACAGTCTTCGCTGTCGCACGAATAGGTCCGTTCAGGTAAGTACCACGACCTCAAAGAAGACCGGCGTGTAGTGAAAGTGTTATACTTCTGCGTTTCGTCTGGTGAGTGAGGTAACCGGTGCCCATTTTACTAAAAGATGGCAACGCATCTGCAACCCTGCAGTTCTTGCAAATGTCCACAGGCAGCTGTTATCAACTAACTTCAGGTGTTCTTCATCTACTCCCATAAAACAAAAATTGTCGCATGCTCATCGGTGAAGGGAAACATCATAAGAGAACCTGCATATTTTTAAAATAATAATTAATTAATAATAAATAATTATACAACAAATATTTCGAAGACAGTCTGTAGTCTGCCATGCCGCGGTGGGGTCAGATGGTGGACTATGCGCTAATACTCATCTCATCACACAGGAGGCCTTTGCCTAGCAGTTCGACATAATTAAAGGTTAAAATATGTAGAAAAAGTACGAAAAGATTGTCGCCGCTGTGGGAATCGAACCCACGTCTTCGGCATTCGCGGCCTGACGCCACCAACGATTTTATCTACATTGGTTTTTAGCATTTGAAGCAATGCTTGGCGCATCCATTGTTATATCCTTTCCAGCATACAAACAATTTCGAATATCATTTTACAACGATAATTCAAACGAGAGATAATTATAGGTTACTTGTATGCTTTTATAAACGGCATAATATTATTATTAATTTATGCAGTACTAGCGAACCGCCCCGGCTTCGCACGGCTTCGTGGTAGTTGTCATTTTTAATATTTTTATACTATGGTGTGTGCAATAAAGATTATTTATAAATTCATTCATTTCATCTATCTCGTAAGTTTTAGCCAGCGTTTGTAATGTAAACACACAAATATATGTTTGTTACTACATCACATTACAAGTCTTTAAAATTCCGGGCTTTTTTCTACTACAATATATATGTATACGTCATATAAACCTTAAACTTGAATCGCTCTATCTATTGCTGAAAACGGCATTAAAATCCGTTGCGTAGGTTAAAAGACCTAAGAGTACAAACTGTGGGAGCGGCTTTGTTTTCAACCGACTTCAAAAAAGGAGGAGATTCTGAATTCGAGTCTATTTTTTTTACCGACTTAAAAAATTAAAAAAACTTCAAAAATGTTTATTTTTTTATGCGTGTTCGTAGATAACATGGTTCGTTTATGTACCAATTTTGATGATTCTTTTTTTTGTTGGCAAGGAGATATCCCAAGGGTGGTACCATGATAAGGAAACCCGGATCTGATGATGGCATCCCAGAGAAATCGAGGGCCATCATTGAATGTTATAGGTATTAACAATGTTCTTAATTTTCTGATTGAAGTCGTTTTTTTTTTTGTTAAAATTTATACTTGTTTTATGTTTGGTACGTCAACATTTTGGTCTGAATGGACTGATTTTGATGATTCTTTTTATATTTGAAAGCTTCCATGTGTGTGGTCCCATAATAATTATATTGGTATTGGATCTTGGCCTCCGGAGATACTTAGGTAACTCCTGAAAATCAATTATAAAATGAATAACAGAGTGATATTTGAAGTCGGTTTCTTTTTCGTTAATAATATACTATGGAAAAATTGTGTCCAAAGTGATGGGAAGAATATGAATATCAGGTGGTTTTTATTCCAAAAATATCCGATTAACCAGCCCCGGATTTATAGATTAAAAATAAAGTATCCCGCGTCTGTCGTGCAAGGGGACGCTGTGTTACCTTGTCTACAGAATGGGGGACATGATCATTCACTAAAGGGGACATAGCAAACGTTAAGGACGGCAACAGGAAGCGGTTTTGTGTCGTTGCACGCTGTTAGATTGATTGTCACAAATTATCTAGTCTATCTTCATTGAAATTTGTAGATAAAATGGGGGAAACATTTTTCTCGCCGCCGCCGGAATAGACTCCACGTGCCACCCAGATGCTTTAACCACTAAGCTAAAGGGCTGATTGCTACGACAACGAAAGTCTCAACATATTTTATCTACATTGTATTTGCGCATTTCAACCAATGCTTGGCGCATCTATTATTACGTCCTTTAGAGCACACAAATAATTTCAACTATTGTTTTACAGTGATAAATCAAACAAGAAAAATGTAATCCATCTTCGGATATGTCGAAACATGAGTTCTTTTGTTATCTTTTCTATTTTTTTAAAACGACTCTCGCACCAGGCAACGATAACTCGTTAGCACAGATACAAATTACGCGCAGTTGTGGAAAAACATTGTTGGTCACACAAATCACACACGCGAGTTCGGTTTACTTAATGACCACGTCACGACTGTGATTCCTCTGCAATTATTGTTTATCTAAATCGGTCAATACACCATACGTTTCATTGAAAATTTGGATCAGAGCAGTATCTACTTATCTTCATTTGATAAAACTACAAACGATGTTAACAATTAGTCTCATATTGAATCGTTAAATTACCATCATAAATTTTTTAGATTACAAAGCTGTCAATTTAGGGCCCAACTTCAAAATCTAATTTAATCGTACTATAGACAAGAATGAATCGAATTTTACAAATCGATTCATTCTTTATAATATTTGGTTGTTCCCTATCTTGAATAATTTATTTTGTGTGATATTGGACAAGCAGTAACGGTTAAGGTTCTGTAGATGTTCGTGATTGCTTTTTTTCTGTTTGAAATTCAATGTCAATACATC